AATGCGAGGAAGAAGAAAGGACGATATCAGAGTGACCGTGCCAAAAGGGGAATGCTCCTTTTCGGTTAGGTGTAACCTCACCGAGTTTCAAACTTCCTTCGTGGTCAGTCGAACCAGAGGTTGGAATTAGGCATGACCAGTTCAAAATGGAGAGGTCTGGTAAATAACACACGAACGTCTGATACATGTAACCGTTCTGTTACAAACCTTCAATTCGATGTTTTCTTAATTACACCATGTGATCGATCCTTCAGGTAAATTTAAACTATAGCGATGGAACCCACTGGGAAGACGACACGGTCATGTTTAACGGTCGATTGTTGAATAAGGTGTGCATGGCCACAACAAAATGGTGACACGGAGTCACGGGGTGATGGGGCTGAAGGGTCCTGCGATGCTCAGCGAATCGTTCACTTTTAAACAAGCGAGCGTGTAGACCAGAAGTGATTAGCTAGTGGAGTAAAATTAATACCTAGGGAATCTAGTGCAAGTAGTGAATCGTAGTGACTTGTTTAACACAGATGTCACCGATTCAGGACCTTTTCCGTACGTTTTTAAAACTGCTTACTGGTTGGCGAGTCTCGGACCTCCATTGCACGCTACGGTAGAAGTGACTTTCTAGTCACGGATATCTAATTGTAAAGGACCATTGTTCCTGATTTGTTTCCTTCCCGATTTGTTTCCTTACCGTCGTCGACCGGCTGTGTCTGAAGGAAGCGCCTGTACATCGGGACCAGCTCCACAATCCGTCATACCAGCCCATCACCAAAACACTATCGCACGACAGCCAACGAACGGTAGACGCGCTAGTCAGACCGCCATCGCCGTATTCGCCGGTAGACCAGTTAGCCTTTGATCGTCCACCATCGCCAGAATCGTTCTGAAATTTCAGCGAGCGCTCGCTGTACTGCATTTGTCGTTGTTGTCGTAAAAGTACGTGCCAGAATATTCAATACACCACACTACTCACTCCTAAGTATATTGAGGAATGTTTGGACAATATAGTGGTTAAGTTGATCCGCTCCAAGGGGTGGTCACTCTACACACTTATTTTGTGCCAACATTTTTCTCAGTGTACCTCAGTGTGCCGCAGCTGTACAGGCAGTGCCAAGAAGTCATTGAACTGACTTTTGTTTGCTTGTGAATAATGTCTTGTTTGGCAACCCGGTATTTGAACAGGTCTTGTTTTTGTTTTGTTTTTTAATGTTTTCAAACATGACACGGACTCCAGTTGGGACTACACACTGGCTGCATCCATCTTCAAGGATGCCTGCAACTGACGAGCTCCGTTGCTACACGATCCTTCCGGCGGAAGGCCGACCCCGCACAACGAACGTCAATCATGAGTCAACCAGCCCTTCTGGGAGCCGGCGAAGGAAACATATTTGCACCGATTTTTTTACCGCCCGAGTATCATCCGTCGGAAAACTGGAAACCAACATCGGCCGGACCACACGTCGGACTGACGAAGGGCCCGACCCGATGACCCGAAACGGACCATCCAACTTCATTCAACCGGCACAGCAACTGGGCGCAGTGATGATGGTCTACGGACTCAGTACCGCCATGGTCCAGATGGGAGACGCCATCGCAGTCGAACCAGTCGAACGCAGCATCCAGCACTTGAACAACATTGAATTAATGGAAATGATGGTAGCAAAATTCAAATAGCATTTTCCAAGCAGAACTATATGCCAGAGTCCACCAACCCGTATACTCTGACGGACAATTCGATCATCTTCAAGGTGTACAGCACCTCCAAGAACAATCGTTTCCATTCCCGAGCAAGTTTCTCCACTTCTTCAATACCCCACCCGGTATGTCCGAGGATCTGCTTCTGACTGCATTCACCACCAAGGACTGCCACCCGTCGCAAGTGCGAATGTTCCCGCTGAAATCGGAACGTTCCTCCTTCGGATTGATCGAGTTCCCGAGTGAAGCCCTGGTGGTGTACGCCATCATGAAGTGAAGTGCAACCACAGCGCGATCGATCACAAAGGCACAAAATTCCCGTTCATTATGAAGCTGTGCTTTTCCTCCTCCAAGTCTATGAACGGTGCGTGGAGCAACGAGAACATCGAAAACATTATATATTGGCCGATGGAATGGTTGGTGTAGCAGCCACCGCCATGGATGTATTCGAGCAGTTCGAATGGTCGGATGGTATAGTTTTTGTTTGATTGTTGACTTTCCGATTAAAACTCAAGCACCGTTTGTCGTGACCGGCCCAATATTTCCAGCGTCGGCCACGGCTACACGAATTAGCGATGCAGCTCCCACGGCTGTGGCTGCTTCCAATGCTGCTGCTGCTGTTCCTTTTGCTGGTCCGTCTCCTCCAAAAGTCGTCAGAAAAGACGGACCAGCAGCAGCATTGGAAGCAGCCGCAGTCGTGGGACCTGCATCGCTAGTTCGTGTAGCCATGGCCTGAAACCTCGGTCAGGTCAAGATACCGCTGTCAGCAGTTCTTCGTTTAGGAGAAAATGTGGACGCAACTGCCTTCACGGGTGTAACGATTGTGAGAATCCATGGTGAGACTTTGTTGAGATTCACGGTTGTGTTTTGAAAATAATTTGATTATATTGCGGCAACATCAATAGCAAATTTTGACACATGCAAACTGCGCAGGCGCAGAAAAATTTCAGTGTTACCAGTAGCTTTAAAGATCATAAAAAAATGTAACCATGGGTGCCAAATAGCTCCAATGACTGCACCCGGGTGTGCCCAAGTTTGATTTTGACACACTGTGTAGAGTGACCAACCCCTTGATCCGCTCCGGGTTTTAATTAATTTGAAAGTTGAGTACGCGAAGCCCCTCCAGTCTTCCCGGTAGTGCACCGACTCTGAGACACAGTTCGTAGAGTTTCATGCTGCTGAGTCGTTGTCGGGCAGAACATTAGTTTCATACAGTATGAGGCAATGGCGGCTTATTTAGGGTTATCAGGTCATCTACGCCATTCCTCTTCTCCTCATCCCACTTCATGGATTGGGAGTTTGTTGCCACTTTTTTAGATTCTTTTTTTTTATTAATTAATTTATTTGTACAGGCTCAATCGAATAAACTTTACAGAGCCAAGTTATCATTTGCGTTATACATAATTGATGTCTTAAGTCTAGATTTAAAGGAACTGAACCGATTACTCGCGGTCATTTTTTTTTAGATTCTACCACCCAGGATATAGTCCTTTTTTTCCATATCAACTGTTAGGCACATTTTGCTTCTACCAACTGGCTTGCATTCAACACCCATTCAGTCGAAAGTTATAAATCTGAAAGATTATATGTTATAGATTATAAGTTTTCTTTTTTAATTGATACTTACATCGAGGTTCATCACTGAAAACTGGAAAGCACGTCAACTTACTTGCTTGACAGCATCGGTATCAACATTGTTTTCAATATAACAATTAGGTTGCTATGTGTATATGATATTGAGCAACGCTAGTTACTCAGAGTTACTCAAAATTAACTCCGATTTCACTCATGATCGAAAGCTCCAGGATTCTAGGATTCTAGCGATGAAGATTTCTACGGATATGAGTCAACCTGTGATGATTTTCATAATCAAACGACCAACGATGAAGACCAAACTCTGGAGGAAACTGAATCAACCCATGGATAGAAGGAGAATGATGTTGACACTCCAAGACGGGCCGAACGTGCAAATAAAGGTGTACCGCCGAGTCGTTATCAAGATGTAGTCACACTGGTAACAGAACATCGAAATGAACCAAGCTTGTACCAGGAAGCCATGAATTGCTCCGAAAACGATCATTGGAAACGAGCAATAGAGGAATAGATCGAAACCCTTCGAGAGAATGTCACTTGGAAAATTCTCAGACTCCCTGCAGACAGGAAGGCCATCGGAAGAAAGTGGATTTTAAAGAAGAAACTTGAGCAAACGACTCTTCGTACCCTTATGAGTGTCGCTGCACCTCATAAAGGGTGTCCAACATCAAATTGCATCACGGAAAAAACGCTGTAGAAAATTACCCATTGGAAAATTTGGTAAAAACGAGGTATTTCCACGATGGGAAAAGTGGTTTCCCTAACACAGTCGCCGAATATTGATACCGAACACACACGTAATCCTACGTCAAATCTACGGTCTTGTCTTGGATACAACCTCTTACTTTTTATGTAACCGATAGCCACCATCTTGTGTTTCAAAATGGCGTCAAAAATGGATTTCCGATTCCAACACGTCCCTCTGATTCCAAAAATACCCATATTGTGGGGTATTTGACAGTATTGTTCAGCTTTTCTGTAACCGGATGCCACCATCTTGGATTCCAAAATGGCGTTGACACAGATTTCTGGTTCCTACACCTTACCCTAATTTCAGGAGTATTTTTCAGTTTTTCTCTAACCGGAAGCCAACATCTTGGATTTCAAAATGGTGCCAGGCATGGATTTTCGGTTCTAATACGTCACCCCGATTCTAAAAATACCCATATTGTGAGGTATTTGACAGTATTTCCCAGTTTTTCTGTAACCGGATGCCACCATCTTGGATTTCAAAATGGCCCCCAGTTTGGTTCGTAAATGGAGGTTCCAGTCCCAGTGTATACAACTTTGTCTCAAACGTCATTTAGATCAGATAAGCCGTTTTCGTGCTATGATTTATTGAAAAATATCGAATACGCCAACTTGGGACATTGCCCCTATGCAGTCCATCATAGTTGTTTGGTGCTGCAAATAATCACATTCGATGCCATCTAGCAACGGCCCAACTGCAACGGAAAACGTTGATAACTAAGCGAAACGCGAACGAATCTCTAAACTGATTGCACAAAGTCATACTTCCATATTCCGCTTTAACGATCAATGCAGTTTCTGATTAATGCCTTATTGACACTTGGCAATATTAAACCAGATGAACCTTATAATTGATGACTATACCTCTAGACCGGTGCACATGACAAACAAGAAATGATTACACGCGTGCTGCTTGACAATTAAACAACACCTTCAATTAAACCCCTCTCCTCTCAGCCCAACTACTACTCACCTATGCAATTCCTCGGCCCCGCACTGAACGGTACGTACGCGTAGGGGCTCCTCCGTTCGATCTGCTCCGGCAAAAAGCGATCCGGATCGAACCGTTCCGGATCGGGAAACTGCTCCGGATCCCGATGCAGATCGTAGATTTCCACATTCATAAACGATCCCTTCGGAATGAATTTGCCATCGTACCGGACGTCCTCGGTCACCAGCCGGGATATGAATGGAACCGGTGGGTAGATCCGTAGCGATTCCTTGATAACACGTTCCATGTACTTGAAGTTGTTGTAATCCTGCAGGGTTAAAGGATCGTCGGGGTTCGATCGATTGCTGTCGATGATGGATTGGAGTTCATCGAAAAGACGCTGCTGAACATCCTGGTGGTGAGCGATCAGCAGGAAGGTGAATACGAACGCACTCCCGGTAGTGTCGTGACCTTCGAAGGTGAACGTGTCGACTTCTTCCCGGATGCCTTCGGCGTCGATTTGCTGCTTGGCTTCCGCCAGCAAAAGACTGTCCAGCATGGCGTAGCGCTGCTTGATGTTGGTGTAGATATTCTCTTCGGATAGGGAGTCTACGTTCGGGACCGTCGCGTGGAAGATATCCCTTCGCTGTCGGATGATACTGTTGGTAAAGGCATGGACCGGTTCGAGGATTTTATCCAGATGAGCCCGGTATCCGAACGCCTTGTAGATCCAGTCTTCGAACAGCAGGGGGTTCATCAAGCGTTGCTGAACGATTCTACCGACTTCACGGATGTTATTCTTGTACAGCTCGGCCAGTGCCATCGTGTCCAACTTAAAACCCATTGCCGTTTCTGTGTAGATTGTGGAAGAGTTAGATCGATCACTTCAACCCTATCCGAACTTACCGCAAATGGTATTCAGTGTGACCTTGGTAGACAAGGGCTGTAGAGCTGTGGTGAGCCCCTTCCCGGCATCTTCATCCAGTTGCGTTACTAACTTCCTACACTCGTCATGGAACGTTTGCAGGAAGCTTTGCAGAATGTTGAAGTGAAAAGTAGGCGTCAAAATCTTCCTTCTCTGGTGCCACTTTTCTCCGGTGCTGTTCAGCAAACCATTCCCAATGAACGGGTAGGTCAGCTTATAGATCGGACTCTTGGTGATTAATCGGGAACTGGAAAGCAGCATCTCGACGTCTCTGTGGTGGATCGCTTGCACAAACAGAACCCCCCGTATCAATAGGCGATACGTTCGTCCGTTGAACTCGTGAGCCCATCTTCGTGCCTGTGCAAATGAACCGGTTTGATTCTTGAACAGTGCCGTGAAGAGATTCTGAATGATCGGATACACGGTATGGCCGGGAAAGTGGGTGGCCGCTTTGAAGCTCGCTAGCGACCGGAGATAAATCTCGTACAGTGTAAGCACTAATAGGAACAGTGCCAGGAGTGCGCCAAGAACGTGCATCGCGAATGGACTCTGGACCAGAACTGCGACCGGATTGTGTTTGCAGGAATTGGCTGAGTCTGAGATGATGCATGGGGAGCACAATTTGCAATCATTATAAACCGGTCGAATGTGTATAGCAGCAAACGGGGGCTAGCGATTAACCTATCCTGCGAGGGAACTGGCGATAGTCAATTGTTTTGGTTTATAGTCAATTCGTTTATTATCGGGGTTGGAACCAGTGCGAAACCGAACTTTTTGGCAGTGCGAACCTCAATCTGAGGTAGGCTTTAAAACCAAACGATCAAACATACGTTTGTCATAAAACAAGCAGACCCAATCTTGATACCCGATCCAGGTTGGAGCTGATTTTATAAACGAATTCGCTGTTAATTTGTTGTGATCGCGAGAGCTTTTAATACACGGGAGAGCTATCGGCTTACAATGTGCTGCTGTGTGTGGCATTTTGCAACGTGCGTGGTGCTGTTGAGGTTATACAGATTTGTTTAACAGTTTATTAATCTTAAAATAGACACTAGGGGAAATTGCTCTAATGTTGGCCTATGGATCTAAGATTGGGCCCATCGCTAAAAATCTGCTATCTAAATGAACGCGTCATTGGGACGGTACTAATGGATATTTTTGGTCGCTATTGAAAATTTAGTCGATTGCTGAATTTGTATGGACCTAACTTAGGGGCATTTAGGCCGACATTACATCCATTTCCCCTACCAGTCATAAGCGTCATAAGTATGGAATCGCGCAGAAAAGTGTGGCAAAACACATTATAGAGCTGGAATTCGGGCCGGAACAGCCTTTGTAAACAATGACTTCTTTCGTAGATTTCCAGAAATTCAAGGCACGCCTACACAAACCAACATATCCATCGGGTAGGAGAAGTCTTACTCTACTTGATGGTCATGTAGATTTGCCAGGGAGGGCTATGACTTTCGAGAAATCATCGAGAGAAGCCAATGTTTACAAAAGCTGTTACGCCCTAATTCCATCTCTATCCAGATTTGAGTATTGTATCTCCTTGAAAAGTTTAGCATCACCTAGAAACAGTTCCATTTATAATGCTATATCCTGAAATCCTGATTACCTATTTGCAAAAGTTATTTCACTTCAGCAAAGTTGTTCCGAAGGGCAAGGGCGTCTGGAATGGAGACAGTTTCGTTCGGAATTATGTCGTTACGTGGCGCAAGTGTGCATGCAAAATTTAGCATTGTTGGATGTTTTGTCACATGATCCCGAACACCTAGAGCTAGAGTCTTCACCAACGTAGTTCAGAAGACCAAAGGCGATCGGAAGATAGGCATTAGACTGATGCAAAATTTGAAATTTTCGCTCCACAGTTCGCTCCCAAAATTTGAATTACTTTAGTAAGAAACTGACTTGGCACAAACTATTTCAAGTTTATATGGGAATTACTATGGTGAAACTTATGTTTTTGTACATATCTATGTACAATTCACCACATCACTATGCTTTTAAAAATGATAGCAGTGATTGTAGCTAATTTTCTCAGCTACAACTTTGTTCAAACCTACTTTTCAATCAAATGTAAGGAACAAAAGTTATTAATGATTCAAGTCACTGATGTCTTATGATTATGCTCATTCAACTGTTCAGCAGGCAACATTGGTGTTTCTAGCGCGTAGAATAGAGATTGCTAAAGTATGATTGTGTCAGTGATTTGTTTTCATCGGGAAAATTTTCCGCTATGAAGTTTTTTTTTCGATGAAAACATTTTGCGTATACGTATACGTGACGTAGTGTGCGTACGATAAACGTCAGCAATCCCTATAGAGCACAAAAATCATGGCTACTATGTCACACTGCAGAATACAGTGTTGCCCACAGAAAAGCTGCTTGCTTATGCCATAGGATTATCAATCTCTTAAACAATTAATGACAATTTAATTTGACATTTGGCTGAAAAACAATATTCCGCAAAGTTGTAGCTTAGAAAATTTCCCGTAAGAATAGTTATATAAATTTTCGAAAAAGCAATATGGAAAATGGGTAGAAGACAATGAACAAAAAGTTTGGTTTTCCCACAGTAATTTCCATATAATACAAACGAATAGTTTGTGCCAAGTCAGTTTCTTACCAAATGAGTTTAAAATTTAGGAGGCTAAACAGGACCTGATTTGAAACCGTTTAAGCACTGTGGAGCGAAAATTTCAAATTTTGCATCAGTCTAGTAGGCATTGGTTTGGAATTATGGGATGGCGCTAGTGTCCATGTATAATTGATTCCAAACTTTCTGAAATTATTCAAACTTTTCTGAAGTGATTCAGTACTTGCAGAAGTGATTTCAAACAATTATTTATTTTATAGTTGAAGATGCTAATTTCAAATAACAGACTGTAGTGGTAATTTTTATACGATAGATGGAGTAGATGAAAGCATAGAGTTGATAGTTCCGTTAGAGTACGGCAGTGTGAAGATTGTATATAGATATTAGACAAGCGAGCTAGGACAACTTTTAAGGAAGGTACAAATCGGTTTTTTCATCTCTTTACCAAACTCCCCCTTTGGAGAGGGATGGTGAGGGGTGTCCCCCCCCCCCCCCCACCACCACTGGCAAAAAGAGATGAAAACCGACCCGCTCATGTACCAACTGTGTGTTTGAAACAGTTCTACCGATTTTTTACCGCACTTCAGTTGTTATTTGAAGGAAGGCATCCAGTCGTAGGTTAACGGCGCCGGTGGTGTAGTGGTAAGCGTGATTACCTCTAACCCCAGTAGGCCTGGGTTCAATCCCAGTCGGCGCCGCCGGGATGTTCTGAGGCATAACATCTCTGATCTCGCCTTCCTTCGGATGGGAAGTAAAGCCGTTGGTCCCCGGTTCATGAGTTGATGAGTCGATAGGTAGGGTCCAGGTGTGGGAGCTGCCTTCCTGGCACGTCGGTAGCATTGGTGCTCAGCATGGAAAACATGATCGACTAAAAAAACAAACCAAAGGAAAAAAAAAACCAGTCGTAGGTTTGGAAATTGCAACTATCGTGGTAGGGGTAAACAATAGTTGCAATTTCCAAACCTACGACTGGATGCCTTCCTTCAAATAACAACTGAAGTGCGGTAAAAAATCGGTAGAACTGTTTCAAACACACAGTTGGTACATGAGCGGGTCGGTTTTCATCTCTTTTTGCCAGTGGTGGCGGGGGGGGGGGGGACACCCCTCACCATCCCTCTCCAAAGGGGGAGTTTGGTAAAGAGAGATGAAAAAACCGATTTGTACCTTCCTTAAAAGTTGTCCTAGCTCGCTTGTCTAATATCTATATACAATCTTCACACTGCCGTACTCTAACGGAACTATCAACTCTATGCTTTCATCTACTCCATCTATCGTATAAAAATTACCACTACAGTCTGTTATTTGAAATTAGCATCTTCAACTATGTAAATCGTTGACTTCACGTAGAAGTAATACTAAAAACATATAGGGTTAACTACCCCATTTCCGGCCTATTAAGCATAACCCGCACTTAGTCTTTCTTAATCTAGTCCAGTTTAGCACCAAACGGATTGTTATTATTATTGATGGCTTCCAAATTTATTTATCTTTTCGTACGTACCGTAAGATTTTAAAACGAGAAACCAATCGTTGAGATATTGTCAAAAGTCCAACACTGCTTCTTGACGCCAAACTCGGCCTATGGATTTTAAACTTGGCCTAACGCATTGAAACGCAATTGAAACGCCATTGAATTTACTTCGGCCTATCGGATGAAGATAAAAATTGATTCGGTCGGAGCGCTTCTTTTGATTTTGGGAATAATGGGTGCAAACCTTCATATCACGCGTTCGCAATGACTTCGTTCGTTAGATTATTAACTAAAGTATCGTACCAAACGCATAATTGACTTGTTAACTCTGAAATCATGGATTTATTTGAAGTTTTCTGCTCGATAGGCCCAAAATGGGCGATTAGGCCGAAGTAGTTCTCTACCCTAGTCAAAGTATTTATTTTAATCAATACTTTCCGGAGCAGTTTCGAACTTGACTGAAGTTATTCAGTACTTTCCGAAGTGATTTCGATCTTTTCTGAAATTATTCAGTACTATCTGAAGTGTTTCCAAACTTTTCTTGAATGATTCAGTTCATTCCGAAATGATTCAGTACTTGCGGAAGCAGAGGCGTTCCCTTAACCTCAATCTACTTGTGCACCAACTCTCAAAACAGGAAAAATTATCAAAATAATGCTTGCAATGGATAGATATCGAGGAAACTAGAAGATAAAGTGTATTTTTCAACCGATTCGAATATAAATATGTGATTCCAAGTGATTCCAAAATTTCTAAAGCAATTCAGTGCTATCCGAAGTAATTCCGAACTTTTCTGAAGTGATTCAGTACTTGCCGAAGTGATTTCAAACTTTTATGAATTAAAGAAGTACTTTCCGGAGTTATTAAGAAATTCCTGAATTGATTCAGTATTATCCGAAGTGTCCAGTTCTTTCTGAAGTAATTCCAAACTCTTCTTAAATGATTTAGTCCTTTCTAGAGTGATGCAGTACTTGCGGAAGTGATAACAAGCTTCTTTTTTTAAGTGATTCAATACTTTCCGAAGTGATTACAAAATTTCTAAAGCAATTCCGTTCTTTCCGCAGTGATTTCGAACTTTTTTTAAATGATTCAGTAAATTTTTAAGTAATTCCAATCTTTTCCGAAATGGTTCGGTACTTTCCGAAGTGACTCAGAACATTTCTAAACAGATTCAGTACTTTCAGAAGTGATTCTACTATAAACTTTGCTAAATCGACTCAACACTTTCCAAACTGATTTAAAACTCTTGTGAAGTAAACTGCCGGTAATCGCAAGTCAGTCCCATCTGCATTTTTATCAATTTTGAGTTAGCATCATTATTCAGTTTATCTTTCTATGTTTTTTGAGATGTACTATTGAAAAAATGTGGTTTGTTCAAGAAAAATGAAAAACAATACCAAGTCAAATTGTCCTACAACGAAAAGTAACCGCAAGTCAGTCCCGTTAGAAAAAAAAATAGACTTTCATTAAAGAAACTATAAATCAACGTTTTTAGGATTGCTTCTATATAATTAAA